ATGATTTAAGATCAGAGAATATTTTTAGTGACCATGGGAAAAATCAATGTATTAAATAACATCAAAACTTTTTATTTTCTTTAACATTTTGTTTATATCTAATCCAATCCATCTCCTCTTCTTTCATCTCTGCACAGATTCCAGGTGTCATTGGGTGGAAACCGCCAACTTAACACCTGTAGCCCTCCTTGGTCCCCTTGTTTCCAAGGGTTTTCAAGAGGGGCACGTGTGGGCCTTGGGAGAGGGCTTATTCTTGGGCTAATCTCGGCCCGCCAGCAAAGGGCTCTTGGCCAGCTTTGTGGTAGAAGAAATCACTCTTCTTGAGACAGAGAGGAAAAGAGAGGGGGATCGCGCAGAACCCTTGAACTCAGGGTGAAAGCCTGAGCCTTGCGCAAACCCCCAAACTTTTGCACTGTGTTCTGCCTGGTGACTCTCAGACGTGATTAATTCAGTCAAGCTGTCTGCATTGCCCTCGTGTCAACCAACTAAGCACGCATCAATTTCCATTGTAAGTCAAGTCTCCCCAAGAGTTTTAGGGAGCTGTCCAGCTCTTCGGACAAATACGTCTGCGAATATAATTTGTAGCAGGACAAGGACCATCTGCCGACTAAGCAGATTTGGTTTATGGGGACCCCCAACGCGTTGAGGAAAGGGGCGCCACCCACTCGGAAAGAGTGCCCCAAAAGTCCTGAATAACCGTTTGATTGCCAGACTTCGGATAGACATTTCTTAACCCGGTACTTTGTCAGAGGGACAAATTTGTTGTTGGTTGTGACGCTGAACAGATGTGTGTCTGTTGAGTCCACACCCTTAATGCACCTGCCTAATGCTTTGACGGGGCAGAGTATGTTTGGTAGCTGTTTGACCTTCAGGAATTGTGATTCCCCTGGTGCTGCTGTCTTCAAACGTCTCAGTTCAATTGTTGCTGATGCGCCATCCGGAGCGATCAAAACATCCCGTATGTAGATGCCGGCCCCCTCGTTGCTATTCTGATTGAGTGTCACGTCGCCTAACCTGACCATCCCCCAAAATGCCACTAACGCCAGGTCCAGAATGGCTAATTAGTCCTCTGGGCAGCCATTGGATAGCTCGCTTGCTAAGATGACAAGGTGTTCAATCATTACCCCCTTCTTGGGTGCTCTCTTTGGACTGGTGGAGTCTAATTTAGCTGATGATTCCATGAGGAGGGCCACTTTCTTTTCTACGGCATTTGGGAAGGGCGAGTCGTGAAAGGTATGCCAGGCCTTCAAGCCTTGTATGTACTTCTTAAGCGTCACGGACAACACTTCATTCCCCGTTGGTGAACCTGCCTTATTGCCAGCCCAGAAACAGAACCCGTAAATGTCCTGTTCTGTTGCTGGAAGTTGAAATGTTTGATGACCGCAATCCTTTTTAAACTGCAGGAATTTTTGTACCGCAGAGTTGTAGCTGTGTAGGGTGGATCCCGACCAGCCACGCAACACGTGTTTGTCAAGGGTGTTTGGGTTTAGGAGTGTTGAACCGCTTGAGGTGAAATCTCAAATAGAGCAGAATGGAATGTCATTTGGCGTGTCCATCATATGAGACAAATAATT